GATGCTCATTATTTAATAATCGGACTACTTACATTATAATGTACATAGTTAATACATTTCCCTCACTATTCTTACAACAAGTTTTAATTAAAATTATTGTGAAACTCGGTAACCAAGTTGGCATGTTTTAAACTCTTCGTTAATGTTAGTAACACAATCATTCTGATTACATTTAAGTTGTCTAACCTACGCGCAAACCCTAATAGTCTCTCTCTCTCTCTCTACATATATATATATATATATAATCTGCATAGACCAGTGATAAAGAATACATCTTTCAATCTTTAAAAGATTCATCGACCAATTATACCTGCATCCTGTTGTTGAAATTTACCCTATCACCAAAAGCTTAACATACATCTTGATCAAAATAGCCATCACTTGATCAAACATATCTTATAATTGCATGTATAATGTTCCTATTTGGAGAATGATGCATATTTACGTCCACCAACTTTCAAATCAAAGAGCAGCATAGCTACAACTGAAGAATATCTGAAACTCAAAACAACTGTCTGTCAAACAACATAAGTCACAATTTTCAATACAAATATCAAGACAGTTCTACTGAACGGAGCGGAAACTTGGAAAACTACTACAACAATCATCCAGAAGATACAAGTGTTTATTATCAGTCATCTCTGCAAAATACTTCGGATCCGTTGATCAGACACTATCAGCAACAACTTACTGTGGGAGAAAACAAACCAGATTCCAATGGAGAAAGAAAAGAAGAAGAAGTGCTGGAAGTGGATAGAACACATATTGAGGAAAGCACCCAACTGTGTGTCACAAGGCAAACACTCACTTGAAATCCTCAAGGCCAAATAAAGTAGAAGAGGAAGACGAAAGAAGAACACATTACACCGAGAAATGGAGACAGACATGAAAAGAATGAATAAAAATTGTATAGAACTATAAAGGAAGGGAGATGACAGAGTGTGTTGTAGAATGCTGGCCAGTGACCTATGATCCATCAGGAGTAAGAGGCGTAAGCAAGTAAGTAACTTTCAAATCGTAAATTCAACTAATATCCAGATGTCGACTTCTACGAATACCATCTATTCTAACAGAAACTAATCAAATTTGAATCACTTACTTACTTACTTACACCTGTTACTCCCGATGGAGCATAGGCCGCCGACTAGCATTCTCCAACCCACCTTGTCCTGGCTCTTCCTTTCCAGTTCTATCAAATTTCAATATTGAATATTATTAATATCGATAAGGTCTTAGTTTTCTTCTTTCTTCTTCATAAAGATAACCAATTTCTTAAAATCTAACTAAACATAATCTTTTATTCGTAAATATTCAATATCTAGTACCCATGAGAAGATGACTAATGATTAAATCTTTTCTTTGCGATAGAAACAAATTTCACTCAAGAAAAAAAACTTAATCTTGATTTGAAATTCATATCACTTTGATTGATTTATTGATTTATTGATTGGATCGATCGATCGATTGATTGATTTGATTTGATTGAAATGATTTGAATTTATTTATAGTGGTAACACTTAATCGATATTGAATTCAATATTGTGTACGGTAAAAAAATTATATGATTGAATGATTTAGAATAGCATAGATATATAAGCGAATCATATTGTTTCGAAATAGATCCTCATCAGGTTTTTTCTCTAATACACAGTCATGTTTTTATAGGCATATACGAGTTCGTCTACAAACTGATGCCTCCTAAAGTTCTCTCTGATAAGGTCGCAAAGAAAGAGTCGAAGGTTAAACTGCCAAAGGTTGATAAGAAGAAGAAGAAGGGGAGGAGGAAAGAGAGTTACGCTATCTACATCTATACGAAATGAATTAAATTAATCAAGGTAGTATATGAATCAATGATGATAACAGTGGAATAGATTACAAAAATAATTGAAAAGTATGAATTGGTAGTGTGATGACAAGTATACTAGTTGTGACTGACTAAAGCAGTGAAGAGAACGCTTAATGCAATCAAACTCTATTTATCGTACTCGTTCCAATCTATGATGATTTCTCAACTAAAGGATAAGTTACCTGGTTGTGCCACTTCCATATGTATCTACGAAGTCAGCTACTCCTGTGGAGAAAGCTATATTAGACGTACCACCGGACAGCTGAGCCAACGAGTTAGTGAGTACCTCTCTTCGTGGTTAGGAAAAGGTACTGTCGACACAATAGGCAGCTTTTTTCTATCACACTTGATCAATAGCCCTCACGTAGTAGACAGAAATAAGTCATTTAAAGTTATTTACCGTATTCCTACTAGTTTTCCTTATGATATTCGATCTCTTCTCTTACACATAGCAGAAGCTATAAGATTTCGAGACAAACAATCTGAGTTTTTATGTACATAAGAAATTTGTAACATCCTTTCTCTCCCTTCGCATTATTAAGTGATTTTATTTATTATTATATTCCATACTCTCTCTTCAATTATTTTTTTCACCCCCTCCTACCATTTCGTTTTATTTTCTTTCAAATATACGTTTCACGGTTCAATTATCTGAACACTTGTTACGTAATCTTACGATTTTTGATTGAAATCATGAGTCAATTGAAGCTGGTCCACCATGGAAAACCTGAAAGCACTGAATGGCTGTTTCGTCTTAGTATGGAATTCCTCAGCAGTGCGCATCCACAATCCCGCACCCCGCGAGACTCGAACCCAGGACCTATCAGTCTCGCGCCAGGGGCTTAACTAACTAAACCACTGAGCCGGCCGACATACAACGGTGTTAATGTCTAACCTCAACCAATCCACGAAATTGCGCGACCATCTTCCATTGCACTGAGGTAGACACCTGTTTCTACCCGACACGGATTAGCTCCACTGGTCACGGCTTCTCACCAGAACTCCGAGAGTTATCTCACGAAGCTATTCACTAGTGAGCGCATGTTAATTATCTGTTTTTTATCAATGTTATTTCAGTGTTTAAATTTTTTCTAATCATTGTTCTATTTCGCATTATGTAACATTGATTCATACCTTTATTATTCCTTATGACAACTAGTACACTTGTCATCACACTACCAATTCATACTTTTCAATTATTTTTGTAATCTATTCCACTGTTATCATCATTGATTCATATACTACCTTGATTAATTTAATTCATTTCGTATAGATGTAGATAGCGTAACTCTCTTTCCTCCTCCCCTTCTTCTTCTTCTTATCAACCTTTGGCAGTTTAACCTTCGACTCTTTCTTTGCGACCTTATCAGAGAGAACTTTAGGAGGCATCAGTTTGTAGAGGAACTTGTATTTGCCCATAGAAACATGACTGTATGTTAGAGTAAAACCTGATGAGGATCTAATACTTTGACACAAGTACTTGGTTACTAATCTAATTCAGAACTAATAGACAATAACAAGAACAAATCATAGATTTTAAATTATTTAATCTAGTTGAAAAATAATTCCTTTATAAATAAGGTTCCCTCTTTCCTGACAACAGTTTAGTTTAATGTTTACAGAAAAAAATTAATAATAATAAAGTGCCTAAACTTCTTGTGATAAATTATTTTTGATTGAGATCTTGAACCAATTGATGTTAGACCATCACAACTGAAAACCTGGAAGCACTGGATGGCCGTTTCGTCCTATTGTGGGACTCCTCAGCAGTGCGCATCCACGGTCCCGCGAGCGGTATTCGAACCCAGTGCTTCCAGTGCTTCCAGGTTTTCAATTGTGATGGTCTAACATCAATTGGTTCAAGATCTCAATCAAAAACTTAATAAATTATTTTCTCTAAATGATAGAAATAAAGCCAAAACGAACATTGATGCAGAATCATGTGAATTCATTGTATTTTATAGTTTCTCATCAGTTGCTTACAACCAATTGTGGATCAGAATTTTACATTGAAGTAAGATATAGTGTGACACAATTGACATAACTGAATGTAAAGAATTGGAATGAAAAAGGTTATCAATAATAACTATATATATATGTGTGCAAGAACAGGTCAGAGGTTATTTGGTGTTAGAATCAAGGAAACATTAGGGATAGATGATATAATAGTTGAGTGAAGTTCAGAGACAGACAAATAAATTGTGTGATAATTGTAGAGGTAATGAAGGGTTTACATAAGATTCATAGAATTAAAAACTGATAAGATGGGTAACGTAATAATTGGATAGGATTTGAAGAGTTTACATAGTTTAACAGAATCGAGTGAGTGGAAATATATGAGTGAAGGGGTGGTTTAAGAATTAGGTAATGGGAAGAGAACTATAACAAACTAAACACTAACCAGGGTAGTAATAGGTTTATTACTATCTCTTTTTGAATACATAGATCAGGTTTGAGTTTAGTTTTATCGTGATCATTTCAGCAAAACGGAGAGTAGCAGTATTTCTTTGTCTGTTAATAATTTTAAAAGCATGAGGAATGTCAGTGGTATGCCCGATGTCAAATAAATGCTGAGCTATTGCACTGTTAAGAACCCTTGTAAGCAGCTGATGAGAAACTACGAAATATAATGAATTCATATTAATCTGCATCAATGTTCGCTCTGGCTTTATTTAAATTCATAAAGTGAACTAATTACATGAAATCATATAAATAGCTTGAATTGATTATTTATTAGAATTAAACTAATTCTATGTGATGAAGATCATGAACTGATTGATGTTAGAAAATCATTGAAACTGGATGATCTAACATCATTCAGTTCATAACCTCAATCAAAAGCTTAATAATCTCGACAATCCTATACTGATAATTCTATATACTTAAACCTTGTCCCTGTACTTTTCGAATGACTAGATGTTATATGTGTATGTATATATACATAAATCATTTAGTTTACTGATTATGTAACAACATATTCAATGAAATTAAATGATTGTACTTCAAACACACAGAGAGAGAGAGATGAAGCCGATTATTACTGAGTAACTTAATGATAAATCTGTAAATACACCTTTAACTTATTTGTTTTTAAAATAATCACTGATCGTTACAAAGTAACTCATATTCAAATTCATGATAAACTTGATTACAGATGTACTTGAATAACAGGTATTAATTAGCAACAGAAAAAAACAACTCAAAACCTAAGCATATCTCTTCTGATTATTTTCATTCAGCTTCCATTAAATTAAATCTACCATTATAAATATCAACTTAAATTAGTTGTCTGTGAAGTGATATTTTGGTGTGAGTTACTTATATTCATATAAATAGTATATAACAGTGGACAGGCATAAAATGTATTTCAAGAAGGAAAGAACGGGAACAGACAGCATTTCGTATGAAAATGGATGTATAATGAAATCTGAGACAATAGACTAATATTTGCAAATTGATTATTTACTATATAGATCTCAGATTGTATTGAGATATTCTGTAATTTCATGTCCGAATATATTTGGTTGTCCCCACTCATGTTCTTGTTCACTACAATATTCCTAACAAGATTCTGTAATAAATATTATAAACCATTTCTAGACTTTGTAAAACAAAACACACACAAATAAACAAAAGCACAGACAGATAGTAGTTAGTAATGGAATACATTTTGAAGCATGTTTCGTCCTATCTGGACCTCATCAACTGGATTTAACTGTACCATTCAATTTTAAAAAGGAAAAAGAACCAAGAAAATGAAAACAAACAATAAAATCAATTAAGAATAATCAATATTCCTTAAACTGCTTACTTCTTTGATCTTATTCCAATTCATTTATTAAATGTGGATATTATTCTTTCATTATATTAGTTTTTAATATGATTTTATCTTTTTTTTTAAAAATGATTAATGAATAAACATAATACCATGTATTGTATTCCCAATGTATCCGTTAATATTTTGACTTTCCCTCGCTCTTTTTGTTTTCTTTATATGATTACTTTATGAGGATTATTATAAGATCTATGCAAAGATCCTAATATGGATCATTGAAATGATGATATTGTTAATGATGTAATCAAATCATTTACAAGATGTAATAATATTTTCCAACAAAAAAAAGTGAATGTTGTAATTCATGACATAAATAGCTGAACATGAGTTTTGATTGGTTAATTAAACTGACCAATAAAAATCATTGAAATTATTTATTTAACTAAAAATTATTATTATCATTACCTTCTGATAATAATCATCTGCTCACTAGTGACTAACTTCAAGAGATACTCCTTGAGTTCTAGTGAGAAGCCGTTACCAGTGGAGTTTCAACTATGTCTGTTATGAGATATCAACTCACTGAAGACAATGGTGCACGGTGCCTCAACTTTGTGGATTGGTTGAAGTTAGATATTAACACCGTTGGATGTCAGCCGGCTCAGTGGTCTAGTTAGTTAAGCCCCTGGCGCGAGACTGATAGGTCCTGTGTTTAAATCTCGCGAGTTGCGGAATCGTGGATGCGCACCGCTGAGGAGTCCCATGCTAGGACGAAACAGCCGTCCAGTGCTTCCAGGTTTTCCATGGTGTTCTAACTTCAATTGACTCATGATTTCCATTAGTGGAATTGTTATGAATAGTTGAGTTATTAAGTCAATTGAAGCTAGACCATTATGCAAAATTTGAAAGCATTGAATAAATGTTTCGTTCTATTATGGGGCTACTTAGCAGCGTGCATACACAATTAGTGCTTCCAGGATTTCTATCTTCGTCTAGATTCAATTGACTCATGATCTCAACTATTAAAATTACTAGAATATCCACACAAAACCCATTCTCATACTAATCAACATATACTCATCAGTGAATGGATTCAATAGGCATTTTCTGGAGTTCTAATGAGAAGCAGTGACTAGTGGAGTTTAACTGGGTCTGTTGTGAGATAGTAACTGACTGAATAAAACGGTGGATGTGTCGCTCAATTTCGTGGATTAGTTGAAGTTAGACATTAACACTGTTGGATGCCGTCCGGCTGATTGGTGTAGACGTTAAGTGTCCGAGTGCAAGACTAATAGGTCTTGTGTTTAAATCTCTCGAGAGGTGATCATGGATGTACACTGCCACCGAGGAGTCTCACAATAGGACAGTTTTCAAAAGTGGTCTAGCTTCAATTAACTCATGATCACAACTAATGAAATCTCCCTAAAACGTCTGATTTTAAAATTTTTTTAGAACAGATTTTAATTTAACCATAATCTTAAAATATTTCCATGGTCATTTAGATTTCGTTTCAAAGTATATCTGTCTTCTTATTTAAATAAATATTTATTCTTTTTTTTTTCTGGTTCGTTCATAGACATGGTTGAACTTGCTTTACAACATGATTTTGTATTACTTCTTCATGGACAAAAAATTAATAACACTTATTGTTAAAGTGTGAAGAATATATGAATATGAATAATGACCATTCTTTGTTTTTAAGTAAAGATGATTACATCTTAAAATCAATGATTATAATTTATGTAATTGATCAGTCTTTTGTTGTAAACGCCCGTCCTACATTCTACTGTTAGCCACCATCCGTATTTGCTTAGAATGCTTGTGACTTAAGGAAATATTGATGTAATCCGTACACCATACACATATACCAACAAGTTAATGATCAATTGCAGTCCTAAATAAAACTAGGAAAATACGAGTAAATTTAAAACCTCACTGCATTGCACAAGCAAGTGGCTATCAGGACTCATTAGCTAAGTGGATAACACTATAGCATTTGAAGCGAATGGTACTGTGTTCGAGTCCTGAAGAGAACACCAACTATGAAATACAAGTACATCTAGCTGACAAGTCCCATATATGACAAAATACATATCCTACTTTCCACTAAAATTCCACGTACCGAAATAAATGGTTGCTCTAGTTGTCAGAACGGGTATCCGCCTCATGACTTCCGAAGGAACTCAGCTTTCATCATGAGGTGTCATAACTCTCCTAAATGAAGACCTTCTGAATCCCAGGACAGAGTTTAAAAGGTTTGAATAATTTTTTTCTGGCTAGCGTTTTTTTAGCGAGTTAGTTTTCTACGGGATGGGGTTGCTAACCCCATGCCCAACCCTCCTCCTCTATCCGGGTTTGGGACTGGCAGTAGCCCCCAAAGGGACTCCAGGAGGAGTTGGATAGAACTAGAAAACAAGGCCCAGGACAGAGTGGGTTGGAAAATGTTGATCGGTGGCCTATGCTCCATTAGGAGTAACAGGCGTAAGTAAGTAAGTTTCCACTACTAAACACCATTTATCTTTATAAGCAAAGAGGGATAGTGGCTAGCAGTGGAATCCAGGACGCGCGTTTCGTCCTGTTTGGGACTCGTCAGCTGGATGTACCTGCATCTCAGAGTTGATGTTCACTCTGGGACTCGAACTCAGTACCATTCGCTTCAAACACCATCGTGTTATCCACTTAGCTACTGAGTCCTGATAGCCACTTGCTTGTGCAATGGGTTGAAGTTTAATTCACTTGATATTGTTTTACTTGAATCTTCCCATTGATGTTTTTTGGACTGAAATTGATCAGTCTCTTATTGGCATATGCGCATACTGTGCGTATGCCTCGATATTGCCTTAATTTACAAGCATTATAAGCAAAGATGGATAGTGGCTAGCAGTGGAATCCAGGACGCGCGTTTCGTCCTGTTTGGGACTCGTCAGCTGGATGTACCTGCAATTTCAGTCCAAAAAAACATCAATGGGAAGATTCAATTAAAACAATATCAAGTGAATTACTACTTATCTTTGTTTATATAAGATTAGTGTATCATTAAAATATAGAAAATAGGTGACCTTAAGATTATAATATCAAGTTAGTGAACTTATTTATTTAAGTGAAATAGATAAATGTAATTGTTTATAATCACCTAGGCAAATCAATATCTGTATTGTTAATAAATTTATTTATTATAATTAATTAATTCATTATTTTATTTATTTATTAGATTTAATCAATAAATTAATTGGAATGAAAATCATTAACAGTCATTTGATGTTTATAGCAAAGAATAAAATGTAATTCACTAACTAACAACTACATATCAATGAAACAAAAATGTAGTGAAATCAGTTAAGCACTACTATTAAACTACCACTACTACCACCACCAATACTACTACTACTACTACTACTGTTAGTACTACAACAACAACAACAACAACAACTACTACTACTACTACCACCAATACTACTACTACTACTACTACCACCAATACTACTACTACTACTACTGTTAGTACTACAACAACAACAACAACAACAACTACTACTACTACTACTACTACTACCACCAATACTACTACTAATACTACTACTACCACCAATACTACTACTACTACTACTACTACTACCACCAATACTACTACTACTACTACTACCACCAATACTACTACTACTACTGTTAGTACTACAACAACAACAACAACAACTACTACTACTACTACTACTACTACCACCAATACTACTACTACTACTACTACTGTTAGTACTACAACAACAACAACTACTACTACTACTACTACCACCAATACTACTACTACTACTACTACTGTTAGTACTACAACAACAACAACTACTACTACTACTACTACCACCAATACTACTACTACTACTACTACTGTTAGTACTACAACAACAACAACAACTACTACTACTACTACTACTACTACCACCAATACTACTACTACTACTACTACTACCACCAATACTACTACTACTACTGTTAGTACTACTACTACTACAACAACAACAACAACTACTACTACTACTACCACCAATACTACTACTAATACTACTACTACCACCAATACTACTACTACTACTACTACCACCAATACTACTACTACTACTGTTAGTACTACAACAACAACAACAACAACAACAACTACTACTACTACTACTACTACCAATACTACTACTACTACTACTACCACCAATACTACTACTACTACTGTTAGTACTACTACTACTACAACAACAACAACAACTACTACTACTACTACCACCAATACTACTACTAATACTACTACTACCACCAATACTACTACTACTACTACTACCACCAATACTACTACTAATACTACTACTACCACCAATACTACTACTACTACTACTACTACTACTACTACTACTACTTCCTCAGTTAATATATAAATTATTTAAGAAAATCATTCAAACGGTCATTTAACTTCTTATTACGTATTGTTGCTTTTATTTGTATTATTATTTCTTTGGTTAGCGTTTTTTTAGCTATGTGGACGATCAAGACTTCGCAGATGATCTGACTCTTCTATCGCACACGCAGCAACAATTACAGGAGAAGATGACCAGTGTAACATCAGTCTCAGGAGCAGTATGTCTCAACATACAGAAAGGGAAAAGCAAGATTCTCCGATGCAACAATCGAATCACACTTGATGGAAAAGATTTGGAAGATGTAAAAACCTTAAGATTTTTGGGCAGCATCATTGATGAACATGGTGGATATGATGCAGATGTGAAAGCGTGGATCGGTAAAGCAAGAGCAGCATATTTACAGCCGAAGAATATCTGGAACTCAAAACAACTGTCAGAATTTTCAATACAAATATCAAGAGAGTTCTACTGAACGGAGCGGAAATTTGGAAAACTACTACAACCATCATCCAGAAGATAAAGTGTTTATTATCAGTCGTCTCTGCAAAATACTTCCGATCCGTTGACCAGACACTATCAGCAACAACTTACTGTGGGAGAAAGCAAACCAGATTCCAATGGAGAAAGAAATGAAGAAGTGCTGGAAGTGGATAGAACACATATTGAGGAAAGCACCCAACTGTGTGTCACAAAGCAAACACTCACTTGAAATCCTCAAGGCCAAATAAAGTAGAGGAGGAAGACGAAAGGAGAACACATTACACCGAGAAATGGAGACAGACATGAGAAGAATGAACCACTATTGTGTGGAACTAGTAAAGAAGGCCTAGGACAGAGTGTGTTGGAGAATGCTGGCCAGTGACGTATGCTCATTGGGGGTAACAGGCGTTAGTAAGTAAGTAGGTAATATTATTATTAGCTTTATTCAATGTTGTATATTTGGTACAATATAGAATTCTCAGTACAAAGTATTTCAACAAGTCTCCCATTTCTTATTTTTCGGTCGATCCTTGTGGTAAATATTGAGTTATCGCTAGTTAGATCTTAAGAGTCCAGTAAATCGATATAATGTACATTCTTTTCGATGAATACTGCCAGCAACTATAATGTCTCTGACTGGACGAAATCTCGTAAACTTGTCACAAATGCTCTTATATAGGTTCTACAACTAATACGCATAATAATGTTTTAAAATAAACATGCAAAAACACAGATAACTTGTTGAAATATCCAGATAGCATGAACAAATCGCCTAGATATTCAAACAAGCGACCTGGAACTTCAATGAACGAGATGAAGAACCATGTATATATTTATTCATATTGAAGATAGACCACCACGAGAAACCTAAAAGTACTAGACAGCCGTTTCGTCCTGGTACGGCACTCCTCAATACTCCACATCCACGATCCCGCCTCATCAGATTCGAACCCACGATACATCAGTCTCGCACGCGAACACTTAACCTCAACACCAATGAGCCAGACGGCATCCAACAGTGTTAATGTCTAACTTCAACTAATCCACGAAATTGAGCGACACACCCACCATTGTCTTCGATGAGATACTATCTCGCAACAAACCTGGTTGAACTCCACTAGTCACTGCTTCTCACTAGAACTCCAGAAAATAAATCTTGAAGCCAGTAACTAGTGAGCATATATATATGATCAGTACAGATAGGTTCGTGCATTGAATTCCCTCGGTTGAATTTATGTCTAACAAAGAAAGGAACATAAAACAAATCCGGACATTTTTGGATTGAGCTATCCTTGAGTAAGTTGAAAATGGTCATTTCTGAATAAGTTAACGGTAGGAAGATAAAACTAGTTATTATAAATTTCCATACTGGGATTAAAGTTGATATTTCGATATGAAAATGATATTTTTTTGTTATTGGACGTAATCAGCTTGAAAAGTATTGATCATCATGGAGCTTTGAAAAGATTGTTTCCTTATAGTTTTTTGGAAATAATCCTTGTCAAATCAGAACACGGGGAGGAGAATAAAAGAAAGACATTCAATGGAAGATTTCGAAACAATGGATTTGATTCATGACAGTTTGTGATTCGGATACTTTATTCTGACATGAAAAAGTAACTATCCAATGTTTTTTGAATACCAATTACATCTCAGATGATATCAGTTGGTGGTTACACAAAAAAATAACTCCACCTGGAGCCTCTCAGGGGTTACTACCGGTCCCAAGCCCGAATAATAATACGAACGCCTGGACACTGGAACAAAATCATAGCCCTATATTCACCCTGAATTGCCCAACAAGTTGAAGGCAGTGTACGTAACAGTTTATCTGAGTCGTCTTGAGTCTCAATTAACATCTCGAACTCACTGGTTGTGTATACGGAACTCCAGACACTTCGATTATAGTTGATGATCTTATCACTACTGAATTTAGATAAGATTCTATTATAAAATTTGATAAGTCATTACAGAAAAATTCAGTTACCATTGAATATACTGGACAACTGGTAGTAACAGCTATGTATTACTGAATTATTAGCAACACGTGAAATCCATTGCAGATCATGGTCAACAATATGTCATACCATCCTAGATCTTATCTTCGGTAGAAATATTATTCCAGTGTCTGTAAAAATAATCAGAATTCAGAGAAAGTGATCACGAAATGGTTGTCGACGATGTCAACAATACTGTCTACCCCTATGATAGTATTCCTTTACAAAAAGACTAGTCAATATAGGCTCTGGAAACATACAGACTAGGAATTCCTGAAAACCCTGTTAAGACTATTGAAGTAAGGTGACTTCTTTCCAAGATATAGTATCATGGATGCCTCTGACGTCTACCAAATCACTGGTTCGTTTTTAGATTTCATCATATATTTGGAAACATACAGGATTATTAAACTGTTACTCTTCCCCATATATGTCTATTATTTCTACTTCCAGCATCTCATCAACAGACGGAGGGGCAAATTAAAACCAAACATGGGTAGTGACTAGTGTAGTGAACGAGAACACAAAGTCACGGAGCATCTCACCAAAATCTGAGAACCATATAGTAAATAGTTAATTTGCAAAATATCAATCACTTGTCTCAAACTCAACTGTTCCTTTTGGAAATCTCAGTCCATCGTCTTAGATTTCATTGCTCATGCATTTTCATACGAAATGCTGTCTGTTCCCGTTCTTTCCTTCCCCATCTTTCACTGAAATACATTCTCTGTCTGACCATCGTTATATACTATTTATGTAAATACAAGTAGCTCACACCACAGCTAGCAGTGGAATCCAGTTTGACGCGCGTTTCGTCCTATTTTAGACTCATCACTTCGATGTACCTGCATCTCAGAGTTGATGTTCACTCTGAGACTCGAACCCAGTACCGTTCGCTTCAAGCGCCATTGGCAGTCCGCACAGAATACATATATGCTAACAAGAGAGCAATCAATTGCAGTTCTAAATAACAATGGGAAGATATAAGTAAAGAACATCAAGTGAAGAGTGAAGGATGTTTGGAATTTTTCACTTTGAAAAAGGTTTATATTGAAGATTATTATTAACACATTAAGCTAAATAACCAATAAAGTTTTGTTCTCTGAGCTGGATGGTTTGGTCGTGGAGCTTTTATCATTCTTCTGCACGACAACATCAGCACAAACGCTTAAACCCTATATCTTTACTCTGATACTATTATACGCCAGTACCCAACCTCAATCACCTAACTTAAACATTTAAAAGCTATCCTCAACAGTCCAGTTGGTCTTGTTTGTTTGAATCTTCTCATTGGTTTTTAAGACTGAAATTGATCAGTCTGTTATTGGCATATATGCATACTGTGAGTATTGCTTTGATAAAGCCTTATTTAACAAGCATTATATGCAAAAATGGATAGTGGCTACCAGTGAAATCCAGGAGGCGTGCTAAGTGGATAACGTGATGTCGTTTGAAGTGAACGGTACTGAGTTTGAATCCCAGTGTGAACATAAACTCTGAGGTGCAGGTACATCCAGGTGACGAGCCCTAAATAGGACGAAATGCGCGTCAAACTGGATTCTACTGCTAACCACTATTGATTTTTGTTTTCTCAACAGTGTTTCAAATCAGCATTAATACTTAATATTGACTAGCTCAGTTTCATTTGGTAACTAAAGACCATCGGTAGAATATAGTCTAATCAACTAATTTCTCATGAAACCCCTAAATCCGTTTTCTCTATTCTTAATGGCTAACCTTTACACTATATTTTTACCAGTGTTTACTTTTTTTCTTAATTTTTTTTAGAAATGGTAGTTGGAGGTAGTCATTAGGAAACGCTGGACCGAGGTTTCGTGCTATTTGACACTTGTCAGCAAGGTTTACCTGTAATTTTGAGGGAACTGATGCTTCATGACAGATTCGATCCCGTGTCACCCACCTTAACAATCAGAGATGTTACCATTAGGCTATCCGAGCCGCGATTGACCTCTTGTATGATTGAGCTGTATTCACAAATAATTGATCACTGGGTCCTGATCAATGTTCTTTGTATCAGATCCTTTTTAGTACAGATCAAATCCTATCGATCAATATATATATCCAACTGAACTATTGTATGTGAACTATTGAATATGAACAAACAATATCACTACTCGGAAGAATCTAATAATAACTATCACATTCACCTTGTATTTTTTTATAAATTCCTAATTAAGTTATTCCATTTCATATTACTGAAACTAAGTTAATTGTATAATGTAATGTCATACTTGTCAACTCAAGTATTCCAGATCAGTAATATTCAATAGAATAGGTTGAAAAGAAGAAAAAAAGTAGTTTCAATTCAGAACAAACTTTGTGATCATTACTTAATTGATATTATCATTGATGAAATAGCAAAAGAAATCAATAAAATTTAAAGTACAATTACATCACATGAAAATGATCATAAGATAGGTCGGTATTTGAGTAAGTAAGAAATTAGTTTATTTAATCGATAATGTTTAATAGAAACTAATAATTCCTCTGTATTAAGAAATATTATCTGTAATTACTGTA